AGCAGGAGGCAAGAAGCCTGGGCGAGCTGGGCTCCTCCATGCCTGGCAGAAGTTGAGGTGCAGAGAGGCGAGAGGTGGGCAAGCAGAGGAGGCACTCGGCCAGCTGCACAAGCTGCGTGCAAAGAAACTCCCGCGGCCCCAAGCTTCAGGGCTGCCTCGTTAAAGGAGTGCGGAGGCCAGACTCACAAATGAGAAAAAGCAAGCTCAGGGTTCGTGGGTCACATTTTGGGCTGTGGAAGAGGAACCGGCTCCGTTCCTGGAGTTCTCACGAGTTCCTGCGCTTTTGGTTTTGCTTTTTGCCAATCCGCCTCCCAAGACTGCTCCAGGTGCTCCGGCCTGAGGGCTGCTGGGGGCAGGGCTCGAGTGCTCATTACTTGTGGAGCTGAGGCTCAATGTCTCCAGCTGCTCCGCCACCTTCCCTTCCCTTGGTTTGCTCGGGGAGCCCGAGCAAGCCGGCTGCTGGAAGGAAGGAGAGGCGGTTTAAACCACCTTCCCTTCCCTTGGCTTCCTCAGGATCCCCTGCTGCAGGCCGAATCAGATACTCTGATCTGAATCGGCTTCCCGCAGTTCAGCCCCATTATATCCTATGGGCCACTGAAGTCAATGGCGAAAACATAGGGTATATTCTGGGGGCTGGAGGAGAGGGGGTTTGAGGGAGAGGCTCCAAAATTGCAGGGTAGCTGCTGGAGCCTCTCCCCAAGATACCCGCCATGTTTCAGGAACATTGAACCAGGGGGTCCAATTCTACGGGCCCCCAAACAGGTTGCCCCCATCCCCTCCATTGTTCTCTATGGTGGGGGGAAAGCGGCCATAACATTTTAAAGAGCCCCTCCCGAGAGCTGGGAGAGCCAGAATGACATCACACGTGAGAGGTGGAATTTGCCCCTACGAGGCCAAGGACACCACCCCGAGGTTCAGGGAGGCAAGGGAACATTACGCCCCTCCCCTCCCCCTGTGCGGGCGTTGCAGCTGCCACCAAGAACAGCGGCAGTGGCCATAACTTTTTAAAGAGCCCTTCCCGAGAGCTGGGGAAGCCAGAATGACATCACACACGAGAGGTGGAATTTGCCCCTAGAGTCCAAGGCCACCACCCCGAGGCTCAGGGAGGCAAGGGAAAGTCTCGCCCCACCCCTCCCCCCACGTGCGGGCATCGCAGCTGCCGCTGAGAACAGCAACAGTGGCAGCCATAATGTTTTAAAGAGCCCCTCCCGAGAGCTAGGGGAGCCAGAATGATGCTTGGACATCACACGTGAGAGGTGGAATTCGCTCCTACGAGTCCAAGGCCACCACCCCGGGGCTCAGGGAGGCAAGGGAACGTTAATCCCCGCCCCTCCCTCCCCGCGGGTGACTCAGCTGCCGCCGAGAACAGCGGCGGCGGCCATAACCTTTTAAAGAGCCCCTCTCGAGAGCCATGTGTGTCATAAGATGTAATGCCAGGTAGCGGAGATATAAACTTTATAAAGGACACAAACACAAAGGTTTTTGTTAAACTTAAAATAGAAACATGCTTAAAACAGTAGCACTCTTGCAATATTTTGCTTATTTAACAGTATCTGATAACTGACACCTCATGCTCTGAATTATTGCATCAAAACGTCTGTGCTGTTGCAATCTTGAGTATGCTGTTTAGGTGTGTATCTGTAAGCTGCCAGCCTACTTTTGATTTATTGACATTCGCCAGTTCTGAGTCTGGGACCCAGGTTAAAACATGAAATGGCAGAGTGATTAAGAGAGTCTGGCGAATCAAGCTATGATGCAGCAGCAGCAGCAGAACTGGAAGCAGGAGATGGCCAGTTCCACTGCGGGCCTGAGAGA